AAAGTGTCGCAGTGAGTAGATAACATCTATCTTCAACTGTGGTGAAAATTTCCGACTCCTAGCTGATCATGGTCGTGAGCTATTAATTAATTATTGTTAATGGCATTTTAATTAATTAACTCATATCTCCGTCAAAAAGGCGCATGGGCCAAACCAACTTGGAGTTTTTCACTGCTGACTATTCCCTACATGATGAAAATAGTCTGAGTCGAAAAGCTTTTAATCATCTCGAGAGGTTCCCTCGTAAGACATGTAACAATGTTTCTTGGACTTTAACGCTTTAAAAAGTTAGGGAAAACCTAACTTCAGTGAAGAAAACTCATTGTTGACTACTCTCAAGTATAATTTAAAACTCGCATAACATTCACAATAATTCGCAACACTTAGAAATTTTAAAATACACCCGATTTTAGCTGTTTTATACGTTGCTATACGTAGAAGTACACTGAATATAAAGAGAAAATAACCTGGATCTTAAAGGATTTTGCTAGCGACACAAGCCATATTTTGACGTTTTGAAGCCTAGTCACACTATGATGGGAATGAGTTAGCATGGGAGACGCGTCGCAACGTTGTATCTTATCGCGATTGTAAGAGAAAAATGCGTTCGCGACGTGGCAATTTTTACTTACAGTGATCGTGATCGCTAAAAAGTCGCTATTATCACTTCACGATCGCGAATTATAAATTTTTGAAAGGTAAGACTACATCGCGATCGCGTCGCGGCAGAAGCGACTTCTTAGCGGTCGCGGTACAGCTTCGCGATCCGAGCGCGATCACTATAAGGAAAAAAATGTCACGTCGCCATTCCGAATTACAATTTTTTCCAAAAATAAGAGTTGGTCGCAAATAAAACCGAGCGCCACTGAAATTAAATTTCGCATTTTGTAGAGCAAATGGTTATTCAAAGCAAAAAAACGAAGATACTAAAAAATCGAGAAACTTTAACTTTAAAATCATATCTCACTGTGAAAAGTCAATTTCTAGACAAAACAAACATCATCCGGATAGTCACCATAACGAACTGCAATCGTGAACTGTACTGCCTGACAAATTTAGAGAAAAGACAGTATGCTCAAAAATTCACTTGGATGATGTACTTTTTCTAATTTTCGACCGAGGCGGATCAATGAATTCTTCACCCTGAAATATATTATAACAAAAAACCATCATTTGACTCAGTTTGTGATACTGCTATTAACCCAGTTTGACTTTTTTCGAGTTTTTTCTCAGGTTGAGAGTCAACCGTGTGTAATTGTGCCAATGAAGATTTAGTATTTTTTAATAACAAATGTGAGTGTGTTAAACCGTCGTTTCTCTATTGATATCAGTTTTTTCTTATTTTTCTCTTTGTGTTTACAAGTGTAAATATGACATGTAATCCATTTTCTATTGTTCAATTAATCGGTTTTGTTAATCTAAAATAAAAATATGCTTATAATTGCCTGAAGGAGAAAACAACATTTTTGTTATGTAAAAGATATGATAATAGGATAAACATGTTTTACCATGAGAGACATTTATTTTGTTTTTCGATCTTTAACAAAACTCTCTTCATTAATCTTAAAGGAAAAATAGTTGCTTCGAGATAAGTTTAACGTAGACGATCACAGACATTCATACTGGCACAGATCATCGTCCATATTTTATATGATAATTTTTTTCTCGGCTTGTCTTTTTTATTGCCTCATCTTCATGAAACACATATTTATTTTTCTATCTAGTATAGATTCAACATGAGATCATCATCACCAGCCATACTTGAACATACGCTATTTCGTCAACAACCATCGTACGAAACTAATGAACAATCAACGCGCCGTAAAACAACATTTGACTATGATAACTATGTTTTATCAATTGATTATGATGGTCAATCAGCAACATCATCAACATCAAGTATAACACCATCGTTAAAAACCGACTGTCGTCTATCTTTAACGTCAACATTACCGAATCAAACAACAAGAAATTATTTCCATAGTGATACATCATCAATTAAAAGTGAGAGAAAAAAGAAAATTATATCACGCATTGTCACTATAGTAACAATATTTATCTTCATCGTATGTATTACACTTGTCGCATTAACATTAAGATTAGCTCATAAAATCGATGAATTAGTTCGATTAAAACACTTAATGCCAAAACCAGTTCAGCAGTATCGAATTGACGATTTTATTCTATTACGGACACCGATAACAACCACCACAACAACAAAATATTCACGACGAAAAAAGACTATTTCTAAACGGCGTTCAAAAGGCCATAATACTATCACAAAAACGAATCCTAGTTTTTATCCTATGAGATGAATCGATGATATATATATATATATATATTAGTGTACAAATATCTAGCTCTACTGCGATATTACTAGTCCTTTCTATCTGAAATGGTGCTTGATCTCTCACTTTCATAAATCTCCTGCCCACCAAGTTGTCATTTGTCTCTTGAGATACTCGACAACATTTGCAAATGCACCAAGCAAATGCACCCAAACTTTTGAAGAAGAAGCGTATTAGAAACTTCTTTGAAATAGTATATAGAACCAGTAGCCAGTTAACAACAAGAGGCGTGTAGGATTCCAGAATTCTGGAGATTTCCGGCCGAATTCCAACCCGCATAATTAGACCAATTGAGAAATTCCATAGTGATTCCACTGTAGCAAGTGTTGGAAGTGTTGGAAGTAATTTAAAGAACTCTTTTCTTGAACACTTCAAAAATTTCTTTTTAGCACCCAAGTGACTGAATGCTATAACAAACCGATCGAGTTAACAGTCAAAGCTCATGCATTACTGACCATAGATGTAACTATCCTGCTGATGACCGGTTGGTCGAATCGATTATCGATCCATATGTTTTAATGGACACCGATTAGTCAGTTTACATCTATGTTGCTGAATACTATCATTTAAATTTAAATTTACTGGCGATGGATGCTTTTTCTTAAATGAAATAACATTCAGATAAATCAGAATTGGGAAACTTATGTCAAAAATAATAAGACAGGCTTGGTCAGAAACAAGCTAAACAACTAGTGTGGAGTAAATTCAATTATTCGTTGTTCAAACATTGTTGGTATTTTTTTTCCATGCAATAGTCAATAAACCTCAGGTGGAAGATGAACACGGTGTATTCCATGACTAATATATAGCTGGTAGAAAAATGAGAAGTGTACCCATAGATGTACAGAATGAAGAATATGAATCTCAGTTACCTATGTATAGCACTCCAACGCCTCATCAACAAGAATGTCATCCACTGATTAAAAAATATGAAGCTTTTCTGTACTACAGTACCATTATTCTGCCATCACCCGGAAGGATGTCCGAGTTCCTGCAATTCAGACATTCTACAGAATTCTATAGGGGAAAGTTAGATCGATCATTACCACAGCGTATGATCACTTAAATGACGCATTTGCGTCAGATTAAAAGCTTGTCATTAGAAGCAAATGATTCACATTTTGCCTATGTCAGTCTCATTAACAAAGACTTTACGTCAAGCTCGATTTTTATGATGTGATACAGGATCATGTAGTATATCTGGGTATCATCGCATAATGTGTGCAGTTATAATGTTGCTCTGCTTTCTTACTTTAGTGCTACAGGTGATCAGCAATGGCAGAATTCCTACATTTCAGACATTCTACAGAATTCTATAGAATTCTACATTTTCCCTAGGAATTCTACGACAACTCTTTCATAGCCAAAACATGAGATGTCCGACTTGTTCTCAAAAAAGAAATCTAGGAAATGTATGGAATTCTA